ATTTTCAATTATTAGTAATTGATAACTGAATGTCTTCTAAGTGAAACAGTGTCGTGATTTTTTTCTTTTTTTACCACATATGCAAGACTCACTCCATTCACAACTAATCACCTACGGAGGTTTCCTGTGGCCAAAACAAGAGAGTTGATTTGCGATGCAATTTATAGGGGAAAAAAGGCCCAATAGCCTTCCATTCCCATGTAGACTACTTAATAGCAAACAAACAGTATCTCCTCCTTTACGCCTCAAATGTAATCCAGTATTGAATTACAGGCTGACAGAAGAGATCTGAAAACTAGAACCTGGGAAAAGGAAACAGGAAAGCGAGGCAGGTTGTCTAACAAGCTAGAGTTGACTGACAGGTATTGATTATAATCTTGCATGAAACCTCCTTAGAGCGTGCTGGGGACCTACTGATAGACGCTAGACTTTCCACCCGAAAACCTTACAGACTGCTTTATCAAATGCAGAACAAGAGCTCCTTCCCACTGCCCGCCATCAAATTAGACAGACTGGACCAAATACAAAGGTGGAGTGAGGTGGGAGGATGGTCATAAGCATGAAGTTGACAGAAGGAGAAAAACAAGAATAAATTATTTTAAGTAAAATGGGAATTACGGTCTCCTGGTTAATTGAGAAGCCATATAATAAATCATAACATTAGTGCCTCAAAGTCAGTCAACCATCACCTAGTGTAGGGTACAGGTCAAATCCACTCTGTCTCTTGTTTCCTTAAAGTTTTACCAAAACGTGGCTACACTCAGTTTACACACTGATCTCTTATGACGGCAACAGAGTTGAGTGGTTATGACAAAAATCTCATGGCCCACAAAGCCTAAAATATTTATTATCCAGCCATCTGCGGAAAGTTTGCCAACCACTCCGATCTAGTGAAAGATCATGTCATGTGGGAATGCCCTCGCTGATATATTTTAGCCGGAAGGGGAAAAGAAATCCTTCTCGTCTATGGATTTCCTATCTTCTTTGAAAGAACGTTCCAGGCCAGATTAGTTTCATGTCAATGCTTGGTTCTAGCTGAACGTGGAAGGTGAGGCACATGCATTCTGTCTCCCCCAACATGAGCAATTATCAAGTTTTTAACTCCTGAAGTGACCTAGAAGGGTCATTAATGGATGAGGGGTTTAACCTCAAGCCCCTAAGTCAGAAAGTGGGGACAAAAGGACAGACTGCAGAAAGAGGGCAGAAGAGGCCACCTCAAAGGGCAGCTCTCTCCAAAGTCTGCTGCTCAGAAGAATGGGGAGCAAGAGAGGGAGGCTCGAGAATCATTAACATACAGATGCCAAGTGAGCTCATGGGAGCAGATGAGCTCAACAGGCAAATGGCAAGTGAGAAAAGAAAATCTCGGATCCCCAGACATTTTTGGAAGTCCAAAATGTAGATATGATCAAATACTTCTAACCTTTATAGAATAGTCCCATTTTTGTTTACCATTAGATATGAAGCCAAGTTCTCCAGGGAACACTCTGCATGTCCTATCAGTCTGGAGCCTGGCACAGAGCTATTTATGAAATAAACAAAAGGCTTGGCTTTCTTCATTATCACCACTTTGGGTATGATATTCTAGAAAGCAAATTACTAAATCACCCTATTAAGGGCTTACTAGTGTGAAATTCATCAAAAATAAATCAAATCATTCTACAACTAAGCATAAAATATAAACTCAAAATTATGATTCACATTTTTAAAGAGGCTTATAATTATCAACATAAAAGAGCCTCTCTCTGCTAATGTAGTACTTTTTAAAAGTATATAAACTGCAGTTTGATGCAGTACCTGGCTGCTTATTTTTCTCAGCAATTAAGTCAATTAGGTATGTGCATATTATCAATCGCATTAAATCCAGCCAAGGTGAGGTAATAATTTGTGAATATACCTGAAACTGATTTATTTGCTATTGATATTGCAAATTTTAAGAATGCTTTTTTATAAGGAAATTTAACCTGCTCCTCCCTTTGGTCTCAGGATCATCAGTGATGTTCTGATCACGCTGATGCAGAAATGAGACTGGCTCCATATAGAACCCCTCTATCTATCATACCGCAGAATAAGGTACACACAGAGGGATACAAAAAGCCACTGATGAGAAAATATCCTGGCCAACAGCAGAAACAGTGCTACACATACCAATAAATAGGCCCCTACGTGTATACACTACATATGAAGCACAGACCAAGAGGCTGGTGCGTATCCTCACAAAGCAAGCGAGCAAGCAGAGATTTCCTCTGGAAAACGGAAATAGGAATGGCGGCAAGAAGCCAGGGGACTTGTAGTTTTTACTCTGTATTATCTTATGTTGTGTTGATTTTAATAATGCAAATACATCCTTATATTGCTTGTGTTTAAACATAAAATGTGAAAACCGATGGTACCGACACCGTCCTTACGGGCACAAGGGACATCACACTGTAACACCTCATAGCCTCTCATAAACCACTCACCGACGGCGTGGCCCCACGCAGCAAACGCTGAGCCAGGGAACCAAAGCTATGCCCCCCAGGGTAGACACATGATAGATTTCATGCTACAGATCCACATCCTCTATATCAATTTCCAATCCAAGTGCTTTTGCCTCCTGTTCATTACTGCTCATAGTTCGGTTTGCCGGTTTAATTTGGGGCTGCTTTGTAGGTGTCCACAGTAATTACAATATTTAGTGCTGTCCCTCAAGGTTGAGCTAAACAGAGCAGTTTAAATGCATGTGTTCTGGCCAGTCTCTGACTCCCATCCCACCTCTGCACAGCCCCCACCCCCACACGCGTGTAAGCATATGCACTAGATATTGTATCTTTCATCACACGAGCTTATTCCCCATTACCTCCCACAGTATATCTGATGGTGACGTTATTATTGATGCTACAGAAAACAGCTAATACATGTGGTAAAAATACATGGACTATAATGAATCACAATGACATATCCACCCACCGCCCTCCCTCTACTCATTCTAATCAGACAGTGGGGTTTGTCTCCTCCATTCTGCTCAAAGGAGAAAGTAACATAGGGGGAAAACATTCGTAAAAATAGGAGAAAATAAAAGTAAACGTTTAGGTCTTGAGAACAGAAAGAAAGGCCATCTGGAAGACTGGTGACAGGTAACATATTAATTCATTGATTCTATACGCAGTCCTCCTACCTTAGGTCCCCTGAAACTTGTAGCTCTATTTCAAATGAGTAAAAGAGCTACAACATGACCGTGAAACAGTCTTTCTAGAATGTATTTTGTACAAAAAAGCAGGGGTTCGTTTTCTGCTTTTTCTGTTATTACTATTGCCAATGACATTACCTAAATCTGGTATCTTTCTAACTTTGACAAAATGTTTGGTTTACAAAAGGTGGTAAAAATAACTTACTTATTTTTCACATTCCCTATTTTTATTAGGAAAGTGTTGTTTCTAACCTTTTATTTTTATATTTTCTGTTTTGTGTATCCTGGGGATAGAGTCGGTCTTATTAAAAATAAAACAAAAAGCCTGAAAATAAAGAATACCAAAGAAAAATGGAAATGATACCTAATTAGAATGTTAGAGCAAGAATAAAATTTAGGATTAGAAGAGAAATTAGAGTCGAAATTCCAACTGCCTGGATTCACTTCCCAAACTCCAGAGCCTCCCAGCTATAGGACATTTGGTAAGTTTCTTGCTATTCTGTACCTCCGTTTCCTTATTAGTAATATGAGCATAATAATAGTGCCTAACCCTCTCAAGATTCCTGGAAGAGTAAAGAGAACAGAACAGTACCTGGTATACAGTAATGTCTAATAAATATTAGCGCTTACTAATAGTACATATTAGATCACTGAGGCCCAGAAAGCTTAAATGTTTCCTCCAGGATAATTTACTTGCTCATGGCAGAACTGTCATTAAAATTTGGGTCCTCTGACTTTTTTGTATGTTTTGGCTTCTTTTCCCTGCACATCACACTATTTGTAACCTGGGGAAATTATTTTCAAGAGGGAAAATGAGGATGCAGATAGTCCCTAGATAAGCAAGGTCTAGATTTTAAAGAAGGGAAGGAAGAAGCTTTGCGGGGGGGGCTCAAGTGCATACGTAGAAAACATACACCCCCCCTCAAAATAAGAAACCGAAAGGAGTGGGTGAAGGGCAGAGGGCAAGTGACGCAGGCAGAAAACTTCCCATTAGACTTTTTATTATGACACAATTCATTAGAGCATAATTACATTTATTAGATGATTAATCAGAAGGTTAGAAGTAAAGGTCAGGTTGAATGTTAATTACACATCCTTTAAAGGCTTCCAAACATGTTCACAGCAGTTCTCTCACACACTGTCAGTTGTTGTAAATTCGCTTAAACTCTTGAAAGGCAACTTGGTATTACCTTTAAAAATTCCAAATGCACATATCCTTGTACTAATCAATACAACTGAGAAGAAATTCTCCTATAATTAATTTGTAGTAGTGTGCAAAAATGCACACAAAAGGATGTTCAGTGCAGTAATGGCAATGCAGAATACTGGGAAATATTTAAGCATTCATTAACGGGAGAACTGTGTTTGTGGCCTAGTCATAATGGAAGAAGTGGGATCATACAAAAAGCTCCTCTAGAAAGTATTAAGTTAAAAACAAAATCAAGGTATACAAGAATTTGTGCCAGAATAACCTTTACCTGTGTTTTAAATAAAGGATTTGGATATATGAATATGTTTACACAAGAAAACAGAAAATGCTGCAAAAACACATGAGAAACTTAACAATAGTTATCTCTGGGAGACAGGCTTGAGGTCAGGAGGACAAGATAGAAAAAAGTAAAAATTTACTTCTCTTTCATGATATCTATATTACATATATAATTTTACACATATATATTTTACCATATTCCTATATTATTTTTAAGACTGAAAGAAAATAAGTTAATATAAGGCAAAGATTGTGAAGAAACAGAAAAGGGTGAACAGGCACGATGGAGAACGGCCTGAAGAGTTAGAGAACCTGGAGGTGTCACTTCCAGCTGAACCTTCTTACCTGACACTTGGCACTGCAGTATTTGGCAACTCGGCACTGAGAGCATCGCATCAGCTTTTCCTTCCTGTTAAAAAATAAATTTCACATTAGGAACCAAGAACCATATCTGACTGAAGACAGAAAACCTAAGTCCATCCTGGCTGGAGTGGCTCAGTGGATTGGGTGCTGGCCTGCAAACCAAGGGGCCACTGGTTCAATTCCCAGTCAGGGCACATGCCTGGGCTGCAGGTTGGGTCCCCAGTTGGGGACACGTGAGAGGCAACTGCACATTGATGTTTCTCTCCTCTTTCTCCCTCCCTTCCCCTCTCTCTAAAAATAAATAAATAAAACCTTTCAAAAGAAAGATTGAGGCCCTTCCAAATACTAAAAAAAGAAAGAAAGAAAACATAAGTCAACATACTGGCGCCAACATGTTCTGCTCACTCCATCTGTAGGCTCCCTTAAGATTTTTGCATTGATGAACATCTTTCATCTTCAATGTGAGACATGTACATAATAATGTTCTTTCTTTAGTTGTGGAAAATATATATATAACACAAAATTTGCCACTTTAACCATTTTTAAGTGTACACTTCAGTGTGTTAAAAAGATAATTCAAGGGACAAAATGGAGTTGTTTAAGCTAAGCCCCAAATCAAATGGAGACTTGACTTCATTACTGCTTTTCTCTTTGGAGCAATAGCATCTCGGTAAGGCCTCCCGACAGAGGAAAAACCTGTGCAGCAGTGAGAAGAGAGAAAACGAAGTATCAGAGTCCCCGGACAGTTCCTGAATATACTCTTCCTTTTAAAAAAAAAATCAGCATATCAATTCCAATGGAAAAGCAAAGTCACATTTTCTTTAAAAAAAAAAAAAAAAAAAAAGGGCAATCAGAAATGTAATCCTAAAAAAAAAAAAGTTCAAGAGCTAGGTGACTAATTTTAACATAGTGTTATCAGTTGAAGAAAATGATCATTCATTTATTCACCTAACAATTACTTAGTAAGCCAGATACCATGACAGGCAGCAGGGAGTAAGTACAGAACAAGACAGAAACAGCTCTTGCCTCCACAACGCTTGGTCTAGCAGGGAAGTAATTTAATAAGAAACTAAAACATAATGCATGCAGTATTTTTTACAAATAATCCTTGCAGCTACACCAGCAACCAACTGCATTTCAACATTTCATTTCATTTCAAATACTTGAGGGACTCAGGCAATTTTAAGAAACAATAACATGGTTGGCATCAGCCATTAATTGTGCTATTTTATGACTTCTAATAGTTTGATACACTACAGTTTCCTTGCCATTTCCAAAAAAATTAATTCTTGCCCCTTTCAGGCTACTGCAGTTGAAATACCAAACTTCAGATAGTTAAAAAAAAAAATCTGCCCTGGAAAACAGTATTAGCCACGTGATAAAAGACCCAATGCATGTTATTTAATTATCCTGGGCACAAAAAAAGGACTATGAATTGCATGGTGTCCCAGCATGTATCCTTCTGAAAACAACATTCACATGGAAAGAAATTATTTCTTCCACTGTCTTTGTTCAGAAACACTTGAAATTCATAAATCTCACAAAATCTGAAATTGATAAATCAAAAGAAACTGGTCAATGACTACAATATTAACTTTTTAAAAAGTCTGGGGCAGCTAAACATCATCACAGTAACGTTAAAACTCTCATTCCCTTAATTAATTTAGTGATCATTTTCAAAGTAAAGCTTGCTTGGAATGCTAAAAGAATTATTTTAAGTAACCAAAGAGAGTCATTAAAATGGAAAATGTGATGAATATTAAACTCTAAAAAGGTACATGATCATTACATAGTTTTAAAACATCCCAGTAACAATGTTTTTAAAGCCCAGTATCTCAAATGCTATTTTAAGTTTACTGCTACAATGTATTCTAGCCTAGAAGAACCACCTCTCTAAACAGTACATACACTACCACCATCATTTCTTTTTCCAACAGAATGAAAAAAAAAAAAACTGCAATATTTTTATGGTGGTCTTAGAAACATTAATTCAATATATATGAGGTTAACATACCAAAATACAAAATGCAATAAATATCAACATACAGATCTGGTTTATTTATCTTAATGAATAAATTCAAGATCAGATTTGCTGATTATATGTCTTCCAAATTTATTAACTACCAAAATAAAACGTGAAGCAAAACTGTTCAAAACCAGTTAAACTGAGTCTTGATCTGCTAAAATGATTAACAAAGCCATCTTAAAAATGATCCCACATCTGAGCACGTGATACCTCTGTGATTTCAGGGCACAAATCCCTCTATCCATCATACTAAATGGAAGGGTTAGGGAGGTTAATAGAGACAGAGTATCTGTAATAGACTTCTGCATTTCATTCCCTACTCAATGCACTCCTATGGCCATTGAGCTATTCGTAATGTGCTTATGAATCAATGCCGCCTTCACACTCAAGACAGAGGCTAGAAACCACTGTGTGAGGCAATAAAGCTTACCTTTGCAAATCCTCATCAAGCTGATCTGATGATTAAATCTATGTGAGCCTTCATAAACAATTAAAAGTGCAGACACAATTTTAATTAGAAACTCGAATGGCACTGCTAAACACCTAAATAAAACATGAACAAGTACGACAGCCACCTGCAAAGAACAATGCCAATTTCCAGCCTCTGTTTACCCAGAGATTTTTCTCTGTTCAGCTGCACAATCACTCCGGTTTTATGAGCTCTGGGCTAGCAGTAGCAGTCAATAATTCACAATCATGAAAATAAATTTGGGATTATGTACTTACATTCTATTATGGATTGTACTTGTATCAGTCAAAAACGTTACACACTGAAAAACCCAAGTTCTCTCATTTGCTAGGCTGCCACCCTAGCAAATCCTCATTCTCCTTAAAAAAAAAAAGAAAAAGAAATAAAAGCCTCATATTGCAAACTGCTGATAAATCAGGGTCAACTTATTCTATTTATGGCTGATTAAGGGTGATCCTGGCACTGCCTGGCTTTTTAGTTCATACCTGGCCAAAGAAAATTACTAGAAGAGTAATGACCATAGAGACAGTTAGGTAAGTCTCAGCCCAAGTCCGAACGCAGGGCCGCAATGATTTGTGTTGGAGAGCAATGTGCAGGGGCCTTTAACGTGAAGGCCCTTTTCTTCATTTTCCTTCACTTGTCTGCCTTGAATTCAAATTTCCCTGGTGCTATGTTTACTTTGCCCTTTTAAGTGGCAGAGCCTAACTGTCATCTCTTTCCATTTGTACTTTTTCTGTCCTTAGCATCATATAACCTTCACTGTTCATCACTCGCTTGTATAGAGAGTGTAACGGATTTAGGTCAGAAACATGCAGATTGCACATTCAGCTCCAGCTCTTAGACGCTGCACAATCCTGGAAAAGTCTCTTTTCGGCCTCTGTCATTTCTTCCCTTAGTGAATGGAGAAGGGTAAAGCTCTCACATGACCGTTGTAAGAATTAAATGAGATGGCACAGGTGACAGTTCCAGTATCCAGAAAACACTACAATGTATGTCAGCTCCCTTCTCTTCTCCCTAATTTAACTCTATCCTATACTCCTGATCCCTCTTCCTGCTGGCCCCTCCTTCTGCGAAGTGAATGATCTACACCCTATCCTTGCTATCTTCAAATAATAATGCCACTGAAAGTATAATCAACTGAAAGAACGTTTAACAAGGAAACAACCCACAAGTCCACTGACAGCAGAATGAATAAATAAGGTGTAGTAGGTTCCATACAGGAATATCACAGAGCGGTAAAAATAAATGAACTACAGCCCCATGCAGTAACACAGACATGTCCTAAAAATGCAATGTCAAGTATATTTTTTAAAAAAACCACCAGACTATATTCAGCAACAATATCATTGTATGAAGCTCAAAAGGAGGAAGAAATAAATTAAGTGTAAGCATACATATGCTAAGCACTGAAACATCTCACATACCCCAATTCAAGGTCAAGTTTCACATAAATCTGTTCATGATTGAATACATAACTGAACTGTAATGTATATGATTACATACATGAGACTACATACATGAAAATACACAACACACAAACAATCTATTTCTGTTCTAATGCTGTTGATTTTTGAAAACTAAACAAAGCCAGCAACATATGCCACCCTTCATCAGCCTATCCTGATTCAAACCACGATGGCGGCTGTAGGCAGAAATGCTGCTCTTCGACACGAAGAGCCCCCATGTGCCACGGCAGCCGCAGCAGTCGAGGTCGGCAGCAGTTAGTTCTTGCATGTTGAGGCCTCAGCTCAAGACCCCATCTGTGCTGACTTGAGGCTAAAGGGAATAAATCTCCTGCAGCCGGAAAGCTGAAGCATATGCCACCGTAATTACAGGTGCCTTCAGCCAGTGCCGCGGGACCAGGAGTGCTGAAGCCGGCGACCTCTGAGCACACACCAGAGGACTCCGCTGGCGACACCCACCTGCTAGACGAAGGATGCGTCGGACGACACGGCACTGAGGCCTCCGTGTCCTGTATGCATTATTTCTGTACCTTACAGCAGACTCTGGCTCCTGCTCGGATGCAGAGCGGCAGTTTTTAAAACCCAGGAGATGGAAAAGGCAATACAACTGCAGCACTTAGACGCCCCTGCACACATTTCCTCTTCGCGTCCCTTTACTTACCTGGGCCTGCGCTCCCCAGTACTAGCCGCGTGTTCATATTTATATTTAAACTAACTAAAATTCAACACAGTTTCAAAATTACCTTCCTCAGCCACACTAGTCAATTCCGAGTGCTCAGTAGCAACATATGGTTAGTGGCTGGTTACCATACTAGACACAGCAAATGTGCAGTATTTCCATCATTACCGAAAGTACTTTTGGACGATCCTGATCTAGACACCAATCCACTGTTAACACAAAACCCAAACCAACACCAGGTTGCTGAACATAAAAACCTGGAGGCAACCAGAAATGTCAAAGATTAGTCCCCCAGCACAACTGATCTGAAATTGTTCCCAGGCTTGGATGGCTGAGGCCTCTCTCCAGGAAAAGCGGTGCCTTCGTTTGCCCATTTCCCTGTTTAGTGTTGCCCATGATAACAGAATAG